TAATAATTCAGATCAGTATTTGAAAAATATTATTTAATTTTATTGAACTATTTTCAGAATCGTATTCAGTTTATTCTTCATAATGAATTTGATATTTTGGGCAAATGGAAGTTCAGCTGCTGTACCGTTTAGCACTCTCATTGCTCTTTTAGCACTTTGGTTTGGAGTATCTCTTCCATTAACATTTATTGGTGCTTATTTCGGATTCAGAAAAAGGGTAACTTTTCTTTTATTGAAATAAATAGAGCAGAATCTTTTTTTCTGCTAACATTAAAAACATTTGCCATTTTCATTATATAATTGTTTAAGGTACATATGAAAATCATATTTTATAGAAGAAAATGGAATAAATTTTATTTCAGCCTCTAGAGCATCCTGTAAGAACCAATCAAATCCCTAGACAAATACCAGAGCAAAGTTTTTATACTCAACCAATACCTGGAGTAATAATGGGTGGTGTCCTACCTTTTGGATGTATATTTATACAATTATTCTTTATACTTAATTCTCTGTGGTAAATATATTTAAAAAAATAATTTACTGTCTCAAAAATCCGAACTGTGTTTTATTTATTCTACTTAATTGATGTTATTGCTACTTAAAAAATATTTGTATTAGTAAGAGACATTTAAGTTGTCAATTTTTTAAGTATTTTTCATTTTAGCTTGAGTTAATTATTTTCAGGTCGAGTCAGGTATATTATATGTTCGGATTTCTCTTCTTGGTGTTTGTTATACTCGTAATCACATGTTCAGAAACGACAATTTTGCTTTGCTATTTCCACCTTTGTGCAGAGGTAAATAAGTTATTTTTTAATAAGATACGAGATATTTTTCAAAATGTATATGTATTCAAATTATTTCTTTTTAGGATTATCATTGGTGGTGGCGCAGTTTCCTAACATCTGGATTTACCGCGTTCTATTTATTAGTTTATTGCATACATTTTTTCATGACTAAATTGAATATAGAAGATGCTACGTCTACGTTTCTTTACTTCGGTTATACTTGCATCATGGTTTACTTATTTTTCCTTCTAACAGGTAATATATATATAATTTGTTTTCTTTTTAAATGAAGTTACAATGTTTCATACTAATACATTATCGTATGTTTCATATAATAAACAGGATCGATTGGTTTCTTTGCCTGTTTCTGGTTCGTGCGGCAGATCTACAGTGTCGTGAAAGTTGACTAATGTATCAAAGAATGACATCCATCGAAGTAAAATGAATGTGGTATGGATAAATTATAATAAGAATGAATGATAGTCGATATTAATCTTGATTTTGTGAAAAAAAGTGTTAACATTTGATGAGTGTCGAGCCCTTTATTCACGAGTTCATCTCTCCAAAATTTTAATTTTTTGCTTCAAATATTAATATTTTACGCGATTAATATTCCAAATATTACTTCTTACTTATACAGATTGCAATAAAATATAAAATAACAAATTGATAATATTGCAAATTCGATTATTTGAATTTCACAAAATTAAATTCGTATGTTTGACATTTAATAATATTGTAATATACATATATTAAATTAATTTAAAAGTATTCTTTTTAGTGAAAAGAATAATACTTTCAAGTAACGTTTGCAAAAACTTGCATTTATTTTGTAAGATTTCGGAACGTCAAATTCTTATTTTTTCTCTGCCACCTAAAGATTGAAAAATGAAATATTCGTAATTTATCAATTGTAAAATTAATGCATCGTTGTTAACAACATCTCAGTATGCATTTTTTTGATAAGGAGATAAACGTATCAAAGCTATAAAGATACGTGTATACGTGTTACAAATGAATTGTGTAATCCAGACATAATGTGTAATTGCTAGGTGCACTGTTTGCAATAATGAGCCGATAAACTAAAGATATTAGTCTACAGTGTAAATAAGAGAATGTTTTTTGTCTTATAATCGTCAAGTTATCTTTCAAATTTCCTGGATTATAAATTTTAATTGTAACATATACATACATTTTGTACCAAGTTCGTAAGATCAAATTCTTTGCGATCTGTATACCAGCTTCATTCTTTAAGTTGAATGTACCGCAAAATTTCTGAATTACGTAACTCTTCGATGTAAGCAAAGAAATATACATATTTAAAATATATATTTTAAATTAGTTTAATTTAATGGACCGTAAAGGAACAATTTTATTAAAATCTTAGACACATTGTGAAATGCAAATTTTTAAGTAAACTATTATATAGACACTAAAAGAAATATTATTTTTCTTGCGATATTTAGGAAATGACGAAAAGGTATTAAACGGTCTATATTACTGTTACCATTTTTTTTTTTTTAAATATGCGAAAGAAAGCATTTCCTGAAAGTAACGTCGGTACAATTAGTTTAATTGCAGAAAGGATATACAGTGTACAAACTGGTAGTTCAGTTAAACGCTGAATTTGTAATTTTCGTTCACTTTTATTTTTTCTACCGATAGTATTTGTGACTGTGAAATATTTTAATTAATAGCTGACATGCACACATCCTGTAATTCACGATTTTTGTAAATTGAAGCAATTACAACGTTAATGATGTTAATATAAATAAAGATCGAATAAGTTTACGTAAACAGTTTTTTCTGGTTACGATGGGACATGTAATTTATGCCCTTAAATTATCGTGTTACATAATCTTTCCTCGTTGAAACAGTTTTCTTTCCGATTACATTTAGTAACATCTAAATTAATTCCATTAAAATCAAGGGAAATACGTATTATAAGAACAAAATAATTGTAACGAATAAATTCGTTTTTCATTTTAAAACGTGTATTTTGGGTTTTCTTTTTCGTAAATCTTTCGATCTTATTCAAGGATGAATAACAAATCTTCCAAACATGGTGTGACATTGTATAAAGTAAGCGGCAGATGTAATTTCGTATATAACCTATAGTGTTTTACATTTATTGATAATTTTACATGTCATATCACGGCATATTGAATTATATTTTATATACAAATGTGTTTCTGGCTGTGTAAATTTATCACGCGAAAGCGAGAAACACCAAAACTTTACATTTTACTACCAAATCAGCGGTAGCACATGTCAAAATTCAAGGAAGTCATGCTACTTTATCGACAGACAGGGAATAAGATAATCCCGAGAGAAAAAATTCTCCCGTCGACGCTTTAGAATGACTTCATGCCAGTCAATGAACCAGTCTCTTTTCATCATCATGTAGGGCATTTATTATTGCTGCTTTCAACAATTCGCCCAACCTCGATTTCTTTTTTGTTTTGTTTCCTCGTAAGAGGAAAAATAGCATTTTCAACGATCACGAATATTAAATTCGTATCATGGTTTTTTTCCTATGTGGACAGTTTTTTCGTTCGATTATCCTCCGATTCCCAGGGCACGTTTTGCGATATCGCACTACGACGTATCGTAGAACGAGATGCGTCTCTCCTAGACGATGCGAACACTATCGTGTTCGTTCTATAGTTACGCCGCTCTGTTGAATAGTTAATGTTGACCTGTAAGAAGTACGGTTTAATGCTGAAAGTTAGGGGAGAAGGGATCGGAGATCGGGATTTTTCTTGATCATGCAAATTTGTACAGTTTCTGATCAACGAGCAATTAGTAGTTCTGAGCGAACGAATAAAATTAAAAAAAAAAACAAGTATGTGAAACCGATATGAAAACAAAAAAAAAAAAAAGATACAAAGAAATACGATTTCTTTCATGAAACGAAAAGATTTTCTGAATTTAAAAAAACCGCAAACCCTAACAGGATATGTTAACATTAATTGTAAAACAGCCTGCAAACTGATAGAACGATAAAAAAAAAACAAACTTTACAGAACACCTTCCGGAATTCTGTCTAATGTAAAAAGAAAAGATCCGTTTGCTTTTTCGTGATCTACAACACCGTTCTTAAAACTGTAATCGGTTAAAATCGGAATTTTTGCATCAGAGAGGGAAAGGTACGTTTAGCGATAATGGTAGAGGACAGAAAACTATTTTCTCGGGCTGCGACGACGACGACCATCCCTGTTTCTCTCCGCGCGTCTCATCTCTTCTAATCTGCGCGCATGTTCTGCCATATGTTGCCTTCTCATCTCTTCTTTCACGACTATCTGCAATTACAAAATATATATATAGGTATGATTATCAAATCAGTAATACATTAAAATATATATTTAATAGATTGATTCTTAAAGCAGAAATAAGAATTTAGTTAATGTTTAAAAAAAGTGTAAACATAAACAGAAACAAAAGAGAAAAAAATTACTGTCCGAGATATAAATAGATAAAACGTTAATATGTTTTTTTTATAATATTTTGAATCTAAGTTACGTCTACTTAAATCACTACACTATTTAAATAAATAATTTTCATTTTTTTATTTTCTTATTAAATGATCAACTAAAAACAATAATCAATTTTTAGAATTTTAAACAAGGTTCTATATCTTTTCGCATTTTTTACATATCAAATATAATAACTTGTAGTTTAATATCTAAATCAACAGATATTGGATTATGTGAAAAAAAAATAAACACAATTTTCAACAAAGAAAAAAAAAGAATTAGTATTTGTTTCCTATACATATAAACACTAAATACACTGTACTTTATCCTCGAAGTACCTGTTCATTTGTGAGTGGTAACCAATATATGCATGGCGTTGCTTTTGTCTTTCTAAAGAGATCATCTAAAAGCTTAGCCGGCGGTGGCTCGTCCTCTTTCTTTTTGAATTTACGAGCTGGAGCTGGAAGATGTGCTTCCACTGCGGGACTCCGACTCCTTTGCCGCCTCTTTTTATCGTGATCCTTTTTTTCACGTTCTTTCTCCTTCATGTGCTGCTGGCCATCCTCTTTACCTAGGTCCCATTCTCGAACTACCATTACCTATTATTTTCAAAATTAGTACTTAGTCATTGTACTAATATATTTTTTTGTTAAAAATCATGTTTCTGTATATGTGTTGGAAAATATTACAAAATTAATATACCTTTGTATTTGTTCTTTCCTCGCGGTTCCAATCTTGTTGCCATGAATCGGACGGTACAAGAGGCTCAGTTTTTCTTGGAATGGATTGATCCTTCGACAATTCCCGCGCTAGTTCCATATCATCTTTGGTTGCATATTCAACATGAAGCCTCTTCGGGTTTGAAATAGGCCAGGATATACCGTGTAGCGCTTGCCTCGTTTCAAATGCCTGATCCTCATTGGCATACTAAAATGATTCAATTAGAATTATTTACATTACAATGTTGTTTATAATATTTTTCAAAGTTATCTATGTGCAGAAATAAAAAAGGGTACTACTTTACATAAATTTTGTAACAATCTAATATAATATAATATGAAACAAGAATACAAAGTGTTAGCAATTCGAATATATTAATGTTTTATTTCTTCTATCTAGTATCATTTCAATTATATTAAATTTCTATTTTAATCTTAATAAAATGTGCGCAGAATACTAGGTATTACACAATCTAAAGAATAATTTCATAAGATTAATTATTCTAACATACCTCTACAAAACACTTGGATTTAATTCTATCCATCCAAAATCCATTCTCGACGATTGTGCCAGTACGCGACAGAAGCTCTTTAATTTGATTTAATGTGAAAGGACGAACCAAGTTTTTAATCAAAAGAATGTTGGTAGGTTTTGTAGCAGGTGGACTCGGAGATTTCACGTGTGGTGTTTCTTTGACAATTGATATCTTACGCCTTGCTGCTGCAAATCACAACAATTTAATAAAAAAATAAATTAAATATGTAAGCATTAAAATATTTATCTACCTATGTGATTGTCTATCTTCGCGTCCCCTTTCTTTGCTGCACCATTCTTTTGAGCAATACTTTCGTCACCGGACTTGTTATCGTTCACTCCCTCGCTAGAGTTGTGCCATTTTTCACTAACTCGATAACGATCTCTGTCTTCGTCGTCATCTTTTGAGAGACGAACTTCGTTTATCGATAATGGCCTTGCTCCGGGGACTAATGCCTATAAAATATTGGTACAAACGTTTATAAAATTTTAAAAGTATTGGAAATTTTATATATTTGTATTACTTGAGATGTACACATGCTTCAAAATTATTTCTTCACAGTTATAAAATATAATTTTAAAAAAGGAGCCTGCTTTTTTTTCTAAAATAACGAACATTTAAATATCTGGAGTGAAAATATTACTTTTAGAGAATCCGTAGAAATGGAAAATGAGGGTGCGGTATCGGTAGATAATGCAGTGCCCCATCGACGTTTTCTCGGAACACATTTTGACTCTTGTTCGGTATTGTCGTGATTTTCCTGTAATATAATTGTGAAATTTACTTACATACACATTAAATAAATATATAATAATTAAAAATACTTAATAAGTTACACAATTATTTATTGTTTCAAAAGAGATGTATAATAACGAACCTTATGTGGAACATTTGTTTCATTATTTGCATTTGCATCATTATCTTCTCTTTTGGCATCATTCTTCTCTATCAACATTCTCGAAGAACTGAAATAAAATTTATATAATTAAGGTAAAGAGCAATATAATTAATAAATGTCCTAATGAATTGTTAATTTATACTTACAATGATCTTTTTAAATTTACTTTCACAGGTTTATAAGTCATCGATTGAGTTGCTGCTGACGCAGAATATTCCGATTTGTCAGCTAGACTGTCTAATTTTTTATTTCCTTCACAATGCTCCATTTCTATTTTTACATTATTCAATAAAGAATTATTTCTTGCTTTTGGTGACTCAGAATTATCTTTCTGTTCATGAAAATCTTCTGCATTGATTTTTTCTTCTTGCATATAAGTATCAATTTCTAACTCTCTTTTAATAGAAGGTTCATCCTCAGAATCTGGCGTATCGGAATTAGATGAATCTCGATATTTAGTTCGATGCTTTCTGCGACTGGCACATTGTACTCTGCCACTAGTTCTATTAGTTTTAGTACAAATTTCATCGTTCGACTCAGATGATGAATTTACTTTACGAATTTTTTCTTTTTCATCATCGTCTTCATCGCTACTTGTATCTCTTTGAGTGTTTTCAACACTAGGATCTTTACTAAAGGCTTCCGTTGATTTTTCGCTGGTATCTTCCACAGATTTTTCTTCCTTTGGTATAACATTTGTCTCCACAGATGAGGGATCACCATTTGAATTAGGAGCCAACATGATTGTGTTACTCGACTTAATGGGTTCACTATCAGCGTTTTCGTTGGAGAAATTTGCCTCATTTGATTCACCTTGCTGATCTATGTTTGGTTTATCGTCAGACAAGTTGGCTGAAGTGGTTTCAGGTGGGATCTCCTTGTTATCACTTACCTCTTCGTTGGAGTCCTGACCTGGGTATGAAGAGGAGGGATCGTTCGGCTGTTCAGTGCTACTGAGCATTCTTGTACAAGAAACCAGTTGCTTGTCTGCCGAGTCAGCCTCCTCTGCAACTCCCTCACCACTTTCCTGCCACTTGTTCGATTTTTTCCTACTTAAAGAAGTATCAGATAATCCTTCTGATATGTTATGCTGTCTAGATAATTTCAACTTCTGTATCTCTCCAGGTGATGCATCAGCTTTTGACACTTCCCAAACTGATCCACCAATGTTGTCCTCTTCATCTTCTTCTGATTTGACCTTAAGATCCATCTCAGTAGACAAAACCTTTTCATTATTTTCTTCTGGTTGCCCTATTTCCTTTTTTTGAAGATGTGTTGACTTCTTTTCTATTTCTTTATTGCTTACAGTTTTTGGTATCTCAGCATTCTCCTGTTCTGGAGATGTTGAAGGTGTTCGCTTTGCACGTCTACGTGTTGACTTTCGGGTTGGTTTTTCGACTTCCTTCTCTGGAGTCCCTGCTTTTGCTTTATTTCTTTCACTCTTGCGCCTCATATCTGAAATATGCATAATACATTTACTAAAAACTTTAGTTTAGAATTGTATATCATTAATTTATATTTACAAATTACATCAGTATAATAAAATTTAATAAAATTGGAA